CAATGATTTAGGGCCACCGTATGCAATAGAAATATCCCGCCAACATACCTTGCAAACGCATGCTGATTTATCTTTTCTGGATGTTGTGACAAACTCAAACTCTATTACCAATTATTCCAACCATACTCTTATTAAATTCCATGATTAAAATCTCGCACTGATGGGTCTCATCCCGGCAATAAGCGACCAAATGTGCTCACGATCGTCACTGAAAAGCACTCACACACAGTACACACAACCACACATCCACGAGATGCACACAAATGACACACCATTGAAAAATAGTTTTAGTCTGGTCCTCAAGTACTCCACTGCGCACACTGCATTGATGTCTATCAGGTGCTTGACTGCATTCTTATTAGACTTGTCACTAGTCCATCCATTATCGCGACATTTCGCCAGAAGTTTTCGGTCAAAAACGATACTTTACAAGTATTTTTTTTTCTTTATGTAGAAAATGGGAAATTCGTAATATTTTAGTGGCAAATCGTATTTTCGTAATTTAACAAACAATTAGTAATAATTACGAAAAATTCGTAACAGTTGGCAGCTATGTACAAGGTAAGTACAAAGATAACAATACAACAACTTGACAAAATCTGTTAGAATACATGAAATATAGGCAATGAAAATGTGTAATGACAAAACCATCATTGGGGTGGACTACCCTCAGGTTGGAACTGGGCGTTATTCTGGCCCGCAAACAATAGACTTAACAGTTTACCGACACCCTTGAGACTCAACCTACATCACAAGTTCGGGTATGGGCGACGTAAGTTCTTCCTGTGGAAGGCAGGTGCACACTGACCAACTTCGTTGAGCCTTTGGATTTCATCATAACTGTGCCTCTTCTTTAGAGCGACTGATTTGAGTCTTCTCTTGTATCAAAATGGTCAGGAACAACTGTTGGCTGGCTGAGAAAACGTTCTTAAAAGTCACAAACTTGCCTGGAGCTTCGACTTGGCTCAAAAACAGTGCTCTGGCGTCCCGTGTTGTCCAGAAGTCCCGTGTTGTGGACTGATATTCCAACTTTCTTGTAGAGTCCATCCAAGCAAGCATCGCCAACAATGACCCATCCTAGGTCCAATCGCTGTGCATATGGAGCGTTATCAGGTCCATTTATTTGCTCTCTAACCTTGTGCGCTTGTAGCACATCTCTTCCGATGAGGAGGAGAATGGGAATCGCCGGATCGATTGGCTCTATCTCGTTGGCAATTCGTTGGAGATGTAGATGGTGTCGAGCAACTTCTGGTGATGGTATCTCCTCCAACTTGTCCGGAATCATAACGCACTCTCTCACGGAGGGCAACTTGATACATGTTCGACCATCTGTCGATTTGATCCACAGCTTAGTTGTGTCACGTCCTGTGACCTCGATGGAGCCAGCACACGTTTTCATTGCGTAGGTCGTGGGTGGAGAAGATATCCCAAGAAGGTCAAAGAGTTCACCTTTTGCTAGGGTGGTGTTGCTTTGGTCGTCAATTACTGCATATGCTGGAACGGTCTGCTCTTGCTGATCTTCTCTGTATACTTCCACCTTGCAAATCTTTGCACAGGACTTTCCACGAGGAAAGGAGCTGCACAGATCCGTGCATGCGTTGGTAATCTCAGTTGATGATCCTGCCTGAATGTCTGCGCCTTTGCTACCACTCTGTTCTTGAGATAGTCGTGGAGGTATGCGGATGTGCAGGGCGGTGACATGTCTATCACTGCCGCAGTCTTCACATTTGATGGGGTTTTCGCAGTTTCTGGCGACATGCTTCCAGGTCATACAACACTTGTAACACACCCCCAACTCTTTCAACAGCTGTTTGCGTTCCAGTAGGGGTTTCTTTCGGAAGAGCCGGCACTCATGTAGTGGGTGTTGTGAGTTATGCAGAACACACATCTGCAAGTCTTCTTCTCTAGGGTTGGTAGCGTTGATGACTTCTGTCTTCCAAACACTGACTGGCTTGATAGACTTCACCTTGTCGCTAGTGACATTAGAGTCCGATGCTGTACAGGGTCGACACACCAGAAAACTTGGGTCATTTCGCATCTTTGCTTCTGAATGAATGAAACCATGGAACACTTCAAAGGGTGGGAATAACCTTGCATTGGAACTCTTGTATTTTGATCCATGTTTCATCCACTTGTCTTGGAGTCCTGGTGGTAGCTTTTGAACTATGGGGTTAATGCCATGTGCGGAGTCTAAACTCGCTAGTCCAGGGTACTTCCCTGATTTCTTGAGGTGCAAAACTTCTAGGAGCAAGTGGTCAAGCTGGAGAAGTTTACTAGATTCCTTTGCTGAAAGCTTTGGAAACTCCTGTAGACGTGTCATGACATTCGATTCAATGGCCTCTGGGGAGCCATACGTATCATCCAGCAAACTCCAAATTTGCTTTAATGCCTCTGCAGGTTGGTCAATGTACACCGAGTACAGTGGTTCCACCAGTTTTCTTGAGTCGTTCCCCAACCACTTCATGACAAGATTCAGTTCTTGTGAAGGAGGTATGTTCAGTTCCTTAACTGAACTGACAATCGAAGCCTTCCAGGTTCTGTACATGGGTGTAGAATCGTTGAAGCCTCGAAGGCTCAAGGCTAACAACTCCTTTCTGAACATAATGTTTCCCATCTCAGACATTATGTTAACCGGTTGCTGTTGAAGGCGTTGGTTGGCACTGAAAGGAGAGGCCTGAGGGCTGGGATGGACTGGTTGACTCACAGGGGAGGGTGTCAAGTTGGAATCAACTGACTGACTGACAGGAGGCGATTGTGGGTTGAGATGGGCTGGCCGGTTGACAGGAGATGCTTGTGGGGTGGGATCAGCCGGCTGGATGACTGGAGATGGTTGTTGGTTTGGATGGACTGGCTGGTTGACAGCAGATGTTTCTGGCTTGAAACTGGATGGTTGACTGACAGGAAATGGCTGTGAGGTGGGATCGGCCAGCTGGATGGCAGGAGACGGTTGTGGGTTCGAGTGAGTAACGGCCAAAGAGCTTGAGGTGATAGGCACTACTGGGGGTGGCAGGGTGCGATTGATCTCCTCAGGGGGTGTATCAAAAAGGTTTGAACTTTGTAATGGTTGACCTGACCACCATGGATCGCTTAACAATGGCGGAGAAGCTGCTTGTTTGATTTCCGAGGTCGCATCATCAAGTGGATCGGCTTCTAAAGCTTCATAGACCTGTTCTTCAGCTTCTGCCTCTGCAAGTGCAGTTTCTTGCTCGAAACGACACTTCTGTTGTTTCAACTTAAGCTCTGCCTGCTCAAGTTGTTCCATCTCAGCAAGTCTTTGCAAACGAACCTTCAATGCTGCTTTCTTGGCTGATGCTCTTGCTTTGGAAGAGGCCGTGCTTCCACATGAACTGATTGATGACATGTTATCAGCCGTGTTCGTGTCCAGTCGGCGAATTTGGAAATAGCTCTTTTACTATTCTGGCCTCGGGGAGTGTGGGACGCCCCCTATCCAGTTAGATAACCAGGCAGTCACAAGGAGTAGGTTCGACTTGAAATTTATTCCTTGACATACACATGGTAAACTGTAAACATAATCAAATGAGGAAAATTACAATAAAAAAGGCGCAAAGGACAAAATTATATGATTGACATGGAAATATGAAATAATTTCCCATTACAAAAAAATATGACGACAAGCTAGCAGGTAGATGATAGAGTAACAGACCAGAATGGATAAAATCTACATGTATGTAAGTGTGACACATGAAGTACACAAAAAATTGCTTCATCCTCAATGACAATAACATTACACTTCTGAAAGGAATATGCAAAGACTTACAGAGCTGTTGTGTCTCCAAATACACACTGTACTGCCAACTTTTAAGAGGACAAGTCGCATATAGTGAATAACAACCTAGGGAGAATAAGCAACAAGCTACTTTAACAATCAAATCAAATGACCTACAATGCACAAGGACTTACAAAATCACTTCCCCAAAAAGGAATAAGTAGGCACATGTCACTTCATGTCAGAAATCCAAGCCAATTACATGAAAATGTATACAAAGGGGAATATGGCAAAGAGCTACTGCTTATAAACAACATACGAGAACTTGATCTTACACCACACTATGGATTCAAGAAATTTCAAAATCGAACAATGAAAATTAATTCCTACATTACATGAGAGATTGGAATGAAAACAAACATGGCTGCCCCCAACAGAAATGAGAATTTCACAAAAATCATGGATAAGTAACAATTGGATAATCATAAGTTACATAAAGGCTCAAGCAAATTCAAACAAGCTTACTGGGAATTATGATTAGAGCGGAGAACATATTCTTTACCTTGCAAAGATAAAAAACAGGAGGGAAACTTGTACAAAAAATACAGACGTGTTTGGTCGGCTCGCGGCTGGCGCCCAGAACGCCCGAAACCTCAAGAGGGCGCTGTTGCTACCTAACGGTCACTCAGTTAACCAAACTGCAAACAGCACACAGCCGTAAGCATCTAATATGTACTGCAAATCTGTGTTTGCTTGCCAAATTCAGGCACATGCGTCATTACGCATATTCGTACGAATTTCCATTGGAGTTCGTTTCAGAAAAACTTGTGTCTTCTTCAGCGAAGAACGTACTGCCCAAACATATTCATCCTGTGATAGTTTTAACTGTGATAACAGTTCTTCGAAAGAAATATTTTCACCATATTTCATTAAGTGTAACTGTTGCTTTATTTTGTCGAAATTTTGCTGGTGTTTTGCTTTTGCTTCAGGTGGCACATCATCAGGCAGGGGCTCAAGAATTGATGTAGCAGACATTGGAGGAATTGGAAATCCAAATCGACATACAAGTTTGCCACCTTTTTTACAGGTCTTTGTGTGTTTGTGTTCATGTAACTTGGATATCCCAATAACTCAGCATCTTCAGTGTGTCTTTTACAGGTGATGTATTTATCTATGAAGTCGATGACAACATCATCAGCATCCCTTCCATGCTGGGGAGCACCTTTGATCCAAAATAAGCAATGTATGTGTGGGGAGCCACGCTGCTGAAATTCTACCCTGTAGAAAAAGTCATCAATTTGTCCAATCGGAGAAAGAGTGGATTTAAGTACACCATGAAAGAACACCTGAACTCTGTGATCAAAATGCCTAGCACTTAATACTGGATCACTCTGAATTAATTCAGACTTTTGCTGCCAAGTCAAATTCAAGATATCTTGATCAGAGAGAATTTTTCCATTGACACTGAGACTTAAGTTCTTCAGAAGGTCTGTCCATTTCGTTTCTGCAGCAGAGAACGATCCAAAAAATGTTGGTATGCCCAACTGGCGGATCATGGCAAAGATGTCTTTTTGGCGAGCCTGCCAATATGGTGGAGATGAGCGGAGTGTCTTCAAAACACGATAGCCCTGGTCGACATGAATTAAATCATCAAGTGCTCCTGGTTGTCTAAGATATCCAGCTGTATATGTATCACTGACATTTGTTGTTTTACGCAGAGCAGTCATTGCCAGATCTCTGATCTGTAAAGTTTGAAGTTTCTTCAGTTTAAAAAACAAATTGGGAACTGACATAGCAAACCGTCGGTCAGCACTGCGTAGTTCAGCTTTACAAATTGAGCTATATGTAAGTGGAGTTGTGCGTTGTGCATTATCCAGCCTACGTTTACCACAGAAGAGGGTGGGAAATGACTTCTCCTCACAATCTTTATCCAAGAAAATATTGATGGGATGATTACCTTCTCCTGGTGCTATTTTCAATGCATGTTGTCCATCACTTGTGAAGTCATTGGGGTAAAGCATTGTGTCCCTATTACCCCCTGAAAATTGCTCTGCAGTGGAAATTTCAGTCCAGTCGTCAGACTCTTTATTTCGATTCTCACCACTGATATCATCGTCATCATCCAAACTGGCCTCAATGTTGCCAACCTGTGTATCTACGTTCATATCCAGGTCATCATGTTTCGCTATGAAGTTAACTGTTGTTGTGTCATTCCACTCTTGATTCTTCCAGGCCATATCTAACTGTATATTTTCATCTTGGTAAATCGGACTGTTCTTCACAAGCCATTCAGCAGCATCAAATATTTTCTTTGGTCGCACAGTTTCATAGTGATATGGAGTTTTATATTTCAATCTTCTCATTAATTTCAACTGGATTGTCTCCGTGTCTTGAAATGAGCGAGGGAGTGCAGCTACAGTTTTACACACATCAACAGGTACATTAACAACATTCCCCCTGATGCCAAATTGGTGGTCTCTCCCTAATTCTCTTATCTGCATAAATGGAATACGGGGTGATATGCATCTTTCCTCTAATGTAGTCAAGTTCTTCAGTGGAGCAGGAACATCTTCAAAACAAAGACCATTGGCAACTGCCATGGGTGGAAGTTTATGCAGCAACATATGAGAATGACATGTTTTGCAGATCCACTCAACTCCAGCTTGGCTGACTATTCCACGGAGGCATGAATTGAGGAGAGTGGCTTGAATGTTTTTGGATTCCAATGACATCTTTGAAGCAACGTTGACACTGTGTCGATAAAATAAACCATTACAACATGTGCAAACATAATTTGGCCCTTCTTTGGTGTCAAAGAAAAACTTTATTTTAACTTCCGTCACAGAGAGCTGTCTTTCCTTTTGTTGTTGCCTTCTTGCTTTGTCAAGTTGCCTTTCACGTTGGAAGTAGCTTGTGTTCATTCGCTGGTTTCTTTTCCGGATTCTTTCATGATCCTTAGCTGACTTATTAGGTTTGCATTTATTTCGTTTACTCCGTACAAGTTCCAAGTCTTTTACTCTTTGTTTACTTCTGTATTCTGGGTTACTTCTTCTTCTATGTAAACTTGTCAATTCTTTTACTCTTTCTTTACTTCTGTAGCCTGGGCTACTTCTTCTTCGACGTACACTCTTCAATTTTTTTACTCTTTGTTTACTTCTGTATTCTGGGTTACTTCTTCTTCTATGCAAACTTTCAAATTCTCTTTCTTTTTCTTTACTTCTGTAATCTGGGTTACTTCTTCTTCTTAGTATACTTTCTAAATCTTTTTCTTTTTCTTTACTTCTGTAGTCTGGGTTACTTCTTCTTCTTTGTATACTTTCTAATTCTTTTTCTTTTTCTTTACTTCTGTAATCTGGCTTACTTCTTCTTCTTTGAATACTTTCTAATTCTTTTTCTTTTTCTTTACTTCTGTAGTCTGGGTTACTTCTTCTTCTTTGTATACTTTCTAATTCTTTTTCTTTTTCTTTACTTCTGTAGTCTGGGTTACTTCTTCTTCTTTGAATACTTTCTAATTCTTTTTCTTTTTCTTTACTTCTGTAGTCTGGGTTACTTCTTCTTCGATGTACACTTTCTAATTCTTTTTCTTTTTCTTTACTTCTGTAGTCTGGGTTACTTCTTCTTCTTTGAATACTTTCTAATTCTTTTTCTTTTTCTTTACTTCTGTAGTCTGGGTTACTTCTTCTTCGATGTACACTTTCTAACTCTTTTGCCTTCTCTCCGTCTCTGATCTCTGAAACATCTCTTCTTTTCTTTTTGCAATTGCTTTCCCACACAGCTTCCTTTTTCCTAAATTCTGGGTCTTTTCGTCTCAGTTGCTTCCTAAGGCGATCTTTTTCTCTTTTAAGTTCCATCTTGCTTTTTTCCATTTGTACTGTTTGACTCGATTCACTGGGTAGGCGATCTTGATTTGTCGACTGTTTTTCCGTTGTTTTGAGAGTTTCCGTTGTTGTGGGAGTTTGACTGAAGCGATGTTTAGCTATCTGTGTTGATGATTGGCACTTGACACTGACCTGTTTTTTCTTAGAAGCAAATTGTTGCTGCTGGTTGAATTCCCGTACAAGCCAAGTAAATTCTGTTGTGTTGTTTTCAGTGCGCATCTCCATGAGAGATGTTTCACCAGACTGATGAACGCTCAATACTGCCTCATAATGGTTACCATTCTTGTGATGAATATAGAACGATCGGTCACTAACTTGGGCATTTCTATCCAGCATCTTTCCTGTAAATTTATGCCATCTGGGATTTGCAGTGTTGTTGTTTCCAGCTGAGTAAATATAAATATCCGTCCCCAAAAGATGAGCAGCAGTAAATATCTCCACATCAGTGGCCCATGAACCGTCCTGTGACATATTACTCCGAGCTAAATAAACCGGTAGAGACGTCCTTTCATCAAAGCAAAACTTCTCCACAGGCATCCTGATAACATTCATGTGGGACACAACCAAACTTCGCAATTCACCATGAAATCTTTCACTTCCTGTAACTAAATAACTGAGAGTCCTAAAGAAACAGTTTCCATCGCCAATAATAGGTGCAATCGATGCCGGTTTCCCTGCTGAGTGAGCCAAGTTACACTCGGGTAAAATACTGACAAGTGGCAATGACAATTGTTGACAAAGTCGCATCTGCAAACCTACATCTATTCTATGAAATGCAAAGCTCCGTTGACTTCTGCCTTGAAAACTAACACTTTCTAATTGTGTTTGACTGTCATGATTTATGGTGTGTTTTGCCAGTGGAGATGACACATGTTTGGTACCGGTAGTTATTTGCTGCGATAGTTGAGACTGGTCATCAGGGTGGGTACTTATTTGCTGCGATAGTTGAGACTGGTCATCAGGGTGGGTACTTATTTGCTGCGATAGTTGCGACTGGTCATCAGGGTGGGTAGACTGTGAGGAAAAGGAATCCACAGCAGTAGTCGGTAGTTTTCTTGGATTAGAGCCTTGACTCTTCACAGCTGCTGCATATGACACATGTGGTGTCTTTGATGAAGTATGGGGATTGCATTTGTGATGTTGAAGTCTCTGATATGACGAATAAATTCTGTTGCAGTCACTGCACCACGTACACTTGTGATTCTGCAGGGTCTTGGCACCCTTGTATGTCTTGTGGCATGAGTGGCATTCCATTGTGTTTGATGAAGATGAAGAGAATTATCTGTCAAAAGAAAGTAGAATATAATAACTTGAAACTGCAGCAAAAGCTCTTCTGGTTGACCTGTGTGCCATTCAAAGATTGAGTGGTGACAGCTCAAAAACACCATTTTGATAGGCAACGAAAAGATCACCTTCTTCAAATACAGATGAATCATTTATCTTTTCCCTGTGACTCAGCTTCCACTTTTGCCAAAGCTTTTAATAAGGAGTCATCATCTTCATCATCGGTACTGAAGGAGGACTGAGAAATTCCTGACACATTTTCATGTGTCTTTGCTGAAGAATTTGATGATGAGTAGGAACAGATTTGCTTCGATGAGCAGGAACTACCAGGGGATACATTGGCAACCTTTAATTCAGGATTTTTTGTATTTGGTGTAGAGGTTAGATTTGTTTGTCTAGATCTTAGGTACTTCACTGAACTGTTCAGGGAACAAATCTTTTTAGCCATGTTTCCATCATAATCCTGTATTTGTCTTTTTAAGGTTTTGACATCAAATTCTATTCTATTCATGGTCTTTTGAAGATCACTTGTAACTATTTCTTTGGCTTCTTTCATATTTTTTGCATGGTCTACCTTATAGAGGCAGGCCAAAACGAAAGCGTCCACCGTAGTTTTGATGTTGTCCAGATCTTTGATGATTTCTCCTGCCATGTGATTCTTTGTCGGAAGCTCTGCAACAGTAAGATTAACATTAAAAAGAATTTTGAAAATGTCTTGCATTTCATTAGATCCAATGAATCCGTAAAAATTATTTGAATTTACTAACTAGGCCTTCATGCATATTTCAAGTATTAGTTAGACTACATGTAACCCTGTATGCTAGAACTCACCAGTCTCCTTCTAATAATGGCTGAATATTATCATGTTTTGCTGTATTGATTAGTTTTACATAATTTGGGGAATTTGAGGCCTTCTGTGATACTAACACAACTGCAAAACTACTGACGTTGTAAAGTTACTTTTTGGTTAGGAAATACTACAGTCCGAAAGCCCAGTGTGGTTTAATTAGAACATCTAGCATAAAAGGTTTGATGGTGGTAGCTAGCAGCTGGGGGTGTCAGACCTTCAGAACTGTGTCACATCCCTTGCATTTTGCATTACCCAAACTCCCCCCGAATCAACTTGTAATTGGAATATCGCACACGAGCACTGTCCAATGCCAAAAGACATTATTTAATTAGTTGATTCATGATTAATAATTTAAGAATGAAAAATCCCCTGCATTCCATGCTTATAAATGGCCCAATTAACGTTACTTTTTTGCCATTAATTAGAATTTTTAGCACAAGAGTGAAACCGTCACTTAAAGCTAATCAACAAAATTATAATGCAACAGCCACAACTTGTGTGTGTGTGTTTAACTGGATTGTTGAGCAGAAACACATTGAACAGAAAGGGCTAAAATATAGGAAACTTGAATTTTTGTTTTCACGAAGAGACACATTCTAATTAGTGGGTTCACGTACAAATTCAGCTCTCATAGAATCATGTGAAAGTTCCTTACTGCCCAAAGTTGTTGCAAAGTAGTATTTTTTTGCAGTTTTAAAACAGGAGAAACTTCTTTTGTGATAAACGCTTTATCTTCAAAATTCACATATCGTCACCGTTTTCATGAAGAGCAACATAAAAATGATGTGGATTTTGAAAAAAAAAATGTTTTCGAGATAATCGCAAAAGAAGTTTCTCATATTTTAAAACTGCATAAAATACCACTTTGCGACAACTATGGGCAGCAAGGAAACCATCACATGATTCTATGAGAGCTGAATTTTTACATGAACCCAGTAATAAGACTTAATACAGCAGTTAAATGGTGACAATTAATTAGTAAAGATATGTGGCTGTTCCTGAAAACGAAAATTCAGGTTTCCCACATTTTGGCCTTTTCTGTTCAACATGTATTTCGAGAGACGCTAAAAATGTAACAAAGATTTGTGGCTCTTCGTGAAAATGGAAATCTCAGTTGACCTACTTTTGCGTATTTCCGTGCAATAGGTTTTGTACACATTCAAGGGGCCAAAATGTATGTGGCTCTTCATGAAAATGCAAATGCAAATTTATCAAGATTTCTGCCCCTTGCAACATTAATGTAACTTGGAAATTAATGATGTTTTGCTTACAGAAATATGTCCAAAAAAATAAGTACATATGTACATTGTTTTAAAGCAAAATATTGAAGAAAAAAATCGAAATCGAAAAATTATAATTTTTGACAGACATAATGTGGCTCTTCGTGAAAACGGTACATGTACATGTAGGGTAGACCAGTTACTTAAATTTTAAACACTTTATAAATTATAAGGAAGACCAACTTCCATCTTCAAACATTTCCTTGCATGGACCAAACCATGTATTTACATGTAATGTAGACCAGGAGTGTATTGTATCATCATGCTATGCAAGGAAACATGATAGAGGCGTCGACACACACAAAATAAAGACTTTTTGGTTTTTTGGTCATATTTAAACATACTTGTATATGAACAACTTTACAGTGCTTTCAGGACAAGTTCAAGATTTTTGCTATCTTACCTTATAGAATGCAGAAGCTGAAGAGAAGACAAAGTGTAGAGCACAAAAGCTGGACAACGCTGGTGCATGTAATGTGCATGTATTGTATTGTACATGTAGGCCTACATGTACATGTACAGTGTACTTATAGTAGATCTGTGCAGTTTCACCACAATCAGGAATGCATTATTCTCTAATTACCCCATGTTACTAAATGCAGGTATGCAGACCCCTGTTCACTTAACAGTTTAATGATAATATTCAAAGGGATATATTTCTTTATAAAAGACGACTGCAAAGGAGATTATCGACATGTGCAGACTGTGTTCAAAGAATGTCAAAAATTGGCAAGACAATATCAGGCAAACTTTTCTCAACTCTTTGGTCAGTAAAATCCCTGACAGTGAAGGGTCCTGAGTCTTTAAACTGGACTGTCACAGATCATTAAGTAGTAAAAAATAAATACAAATAGCTCAATAATCCCTTCATTTACTATAACAGGCAAAAGAACAGGCATGAGGCATTAAGGGATTAGGCTAAGGGATTAGGCTAAGGGATTAGGCATAATAGGAGTGTGGAATGCCCGGGGGATGTGGACCCAGTGAAAAATAACTGTTTGTAGATCTGCAGAAATACATTAGTACACCTGTGTGTAAATTTAAAAGATCAATGAATGGTGCATATGTGAAGTTCCTCATACATTAAACCCAAAATTAACCCCATCCCATCTCTACCACATGTGGCATGATATGTGGCAGAGGGACCCCCCCCCCCCCTTGTGTTTGGTCATGGTGATACCGGAATCGCAGGAATTCTTTTGAGGTATCTGGGGATGTGTTAGGTACCGATAACAATAGTCTCTGGGCTGTATAGGGTATAGGGAGATGGGGGGGGGGAGAGAGCGCCTTACTGTCTCACATCGTGCCAGGTATAATCACAGCCTGAGCCCAATTCCATCATCCCCCACCCCATCATCCCACCACATATCTCCAACCAATTATTATTCCATCCAATTTCCACATCCCACTAACCCATCATCGCATCACATCACCCCACCTTACCATCCCACTCCATCCTGCCCATCCCCCACATCCTACCTCACCTCACCCCACCAAACTCCAGCCATCCTTCCCCCAATTCCATCATACCCCCATTCCACAAGATGTAGGGACAAATGGGGTGACAGTACCGGTATGGTTGTGGGGCAGTCAGTATCTAATAAATGTACTTTATATGGAACATATATTCACATGAATGGTATTCGTTTTGATACAAAAGAACCACCCATGCATGAATGACCCTTTTCCCTTCGATATGTAACCAAAGCAAAATCAATTTTAATAGAGGTTTGGTAAAGTTAAGAATGGATGGTACAGTGGTAAAACATGTACAATCAAATGTACATGTGCATCCCAATGTAAAGTTATGTTCTTGTAATTACATTTCCATATCCATGCAAAGTGATGTACAATAACAAAAACTTTAACATTTTTGAATTAACTTTCCTTACTAAAATCATAAAGTTAACTACAAGGAGTGAACTCCAATTTGAGGTTGTCAAGCTGAATTATGATAAGTTCTAAATTTAACTATCAAGGAGCAAAAAAACTTTAACACTTTAATCTGAATGCGGACGGCCGGACGGCCGGACGGACGGACGGACGGACGGACGGACGGACGGGCGCCCGGACAGACGGACGGAAATTGGTATTACATAGGCTCGCATCTGCTTCGCAGCTCGCCAAAAATGGCAACATCAATTTTCTTGTTCTCAGGACTCATGAGATTACATTTATAATGGTTGCCATAAATTAACATGAAATTTCCACGGGAACCAAATCTGTACATTGCCCCCCCCCCCCCCACTACGTGAGGAATGTGAACGTTCAACCAATGAAAGTCTAAAGGGCACCGGATTTCATGGGAGTCAAAATTTCATGTAACACTGGGAAAGTACGAAAGCCCATTAGCGCCACTGCAAGTATATGTTAGTAATTCGTTATTACGGATTATTAATTCGTTATTACGGATTATTTATTCGTTATTACGGATTATTTAATTCGTCATTACGGATTATTAATTCGTTATTACGGATTATTAATTCGTTATAGCGGATTATTAATTCGTTATTACGGATTATTTAATTCGTTATTACGGATTATTAATCCGTTATAATTACGGATTAGTTAATTCGTTATTACGGATTATTAATTGGTTATTACGGAATATTTAATTCGTTATTACGGATTATTAATTCGTTATTACGAAATAAATCTGGTACTCACATGCGGAGAGCTTGTGATCAGAATGCACTGAGAGCTGGATAGGGTTTAATCAAAATGCACAATTTTGGGAACAAATCCCCAGATTGTCTTAAAGCATATCATCGACCCTGATCACAGAATGACCGGTCTTAAGTTTCGCTAGATCAGACAAAGGCCCATTGGCGGCATGCAGCAAATTTTACATTTAATCAAATTTGAGAACAAGATCAAATCAAGTATCATTAGCTTGGAACTTGTTGATTATGGAAAAAAAATTAAGAGTGATTTTAGATCAGACTAATAAACTTAAAAGCGGCGCAAAAATCGCAGAGGGGGGTGGCCTTTACGCCCACCCTTTTTTTTTTGCTAATACCCTTGCGACACAACGGTAGAGGAGAAAATAAAACCAGCTTGTATTGGTGCCTTGGCACTTGTGAAATATGAAAATATGACTAAAAAGTGATTTTAGGTCAGAATAATTAACTTAAGAGCGGCGTGAAATACGGAGGGGGAGGGAGCGCAACCCCCTCCATTTTCAGTTTTTCCTTATATCGTCGCAATGCACTTTTTAAATCCCGCCAGGTTTCTCTGACAGTTGTTCAAATGTCCTGTGGTTATTTTGACACCAAGTTTACGTAAATAGGGCATACCTTCGTCGCAAAATGTCCATTTACCAAAACAGGTCGATCATTTAAATGTTAACTTTTTTTCACCACATTGACATTTTTAATTTACATGTGCATGAGAGTGCGCATGAGATCGAAAGTGCCGACTTTTTAATGACCACGACAACAAATCATTTTAACAGGTTGAATTGAAAGTCCACACATGTACTACAAATATTTGGGTTTCCATTCAAATAATTTCAGATGTGGGAGGAGCATATCAGACCTCTGGTACCCTGGGATGGGTCCATTAACTTTGTATACAAACTTATTACTATTTATCATTTATATTCTTCAAAATGCCAGCTTTTCGTGAACAAAGTCACAGTAGTGCAAAGGAAGGATATTGCAACTATTATTCTACACTCATGATATAAATTCAAACCCAAAAGACAATGGAATGACCTCTTAACATCAGTTTCGTTTTTTTTCTGTTGGCAGCAGCAACAATGATACGACTGCAAAGAAGGCTTTGGATATGGGCGTCGCGAGGATGGGGGAGGCAAGGGGGACGCTTGTTCAAATGTCCTGTGGTTATTTTGACACCAAGTTTACGTAAATAGGGCATACCTTCGTCGCAAAATGTCCATTTACCAAAACAGGTCGATTTAAATGTGAACTTTTTTCACCACATTGACCATGTTTAATTTACATGTGCATGAGAGTGCGCATGAGATCGAAAGTGCCGACTTTTTAATGACCACGACAACAAATCATTTTAACAGGTTAAATTGAAAGTCCACACGTGTACTACAAATATTTGGGTTTCCATTCAAATAATTTCAGATGTGGGAGGAGCATATCAGACCTCTGGTACCCTGGGATGGGTCCATTAACTTTGTATACAAACTTATTACTATTTATCATTTATATTCTTCAAAATGCCAGCTTTTCGTGAACAAAGTCACAGTAGTGCAAAGGAAGGATTTTGCAACTATTATTCTACACTCATGTTGGCAGCAGCAACAATGATACGACTGCAAAGAAGGCTTTGGATATGGGCGTCGCGAGGAGGGGGGAGGCAAGGGGGACGCTTGCCCCCCCCCCCCCCCCCAAGGAAAACAAAGACAAAAAAAAGGGAAAGAAAACGAGGCACGATGTAATATTGCTGTAAATTTAATATGTTCGGGGGTGTCCCTATCCCCTCTAAAAAAATTTATAGAGAATATGTTGAGAAATATGTTTTGCCCCCCCCTCTTGAATTTTTTTTTAATCCGTAATAACGAATTAAACATCCA